AATTTAAATTATATAATATATAAATAAAATAAATTCAAAATTAAAAAAAAAAAAGGAAATTACCTTTAAAAAAAAAAAAAACCCAGCGCCTGGGTTCCAAGGAAGCAGAAAGAAAGACAAGCAATTGAAACGAAAAAAAAGAAAAAAGAAAAAGAAAAATCCAACACAGTAGTTAGGAATACCAGGAGCCAAAGTGTCCCACGGAAGACTCATTCCAGCTGTATGCCCCCCCGATGTAGCCCTGTCCCCACTACGGGCTACGGTCAGCCGTCCTAGTCTCCTCTCCCAAGTCCCAACGTTCACTTCGGGGTTTCGGGCAGCTTCCCGTTACTTTCTCTTTCCTCCACTTTCTTTGTGTATAAATGTCGGCATCCACCATGGCCAACCTCAAACCATTGTCTCTGCGCTTTCCTCTCTTCTCTAGCAAAAAGCTGCCCATCTCGCAAAGCAGTAATTTTTGGGTTTTCTTTCAGAGACAATAATCAAGAAATGGAGGCAATGAAGATGAAGCTTTTCGTTGCAATGATGGTAGCTGTCTTGGCCTTGTCTGCAGTGCAGAAGGCCGCCGCCGCTGATGCTCCGGCTCCCACCCCAGCATCCGACGCTGCTGTTTTTGTCCCAACTTTCGTAGCTTCCCTTGCTGCGTTGGCTTTTGGGTTGTTCTATTGAGTTTTTGGGTAGACAGCTCTCTGTACCCATTTGCTCTTTCTTTTCCCTCTACACACTCATTCCTCTTTTCTCAGCTGTCTCTTCCTCCTCCACGGGGGAGATGGATCTGAGAAGAGAGGAAATGGGTTTTCTTTTTCCATTTCTTTATGTTTCTAGGTTTAAATTTATTTATTGTTGATCTTGAGTTTGATTTGTGTGTATCTTGTACTATATTGAGATGTGGTTTTTAGATTAGGATAATAAGGAGATGATGGGGAGGACAGTGATGTCTTGGTGGTGTTTCTTGTATCTTATACCATTTTCTCATCTTCCCTTCATTTGTGTATCTGGTTTTTTCTAGTACTAATATAATTTATTCATTTATCTTACTCTCGCAGTGTCTGTGCCTTACTCCATCTCTCATTATGTTGTTTTGTTTAATGTTCTACAATATGTAAATCATGGGAAGTGTGGTTGAAATTGAATTGGTGAAACAAAGTTTTTACAATGAGATAAAAACAGAAGAGGTTGGACATGAAATTAAACTTTTTTGTTGGTTTCAATGTTGGTTGAACTGTCTTTGGCAGACTTAAAATAGAAATGTGTGACATTGGTTGTAACAAAGAAAGAGGACAACTTTATTGTGGGGACATTAATTTTTGATTTATCAGGCAGCTTCTGGCTGCAAGAGTAAATTTTTTAACGCCTATGAACCTGGGGCTGGTTGCATGTGAATGAATCCAGAGCTAAGATGACTTGACTCCAGTGGAGAATATGTATGAACCAAACTTTTCCACAAAGTCTACTTTCCATATGGTTGCATAATGTTCAATAAATTAATCTTGAAAAGCTTTCCCTTGTCAAAAGATGTTGAGATTGTCCGGAAAAAGCAGAGCAAATTGCAGCTTCTGAGGCCCGAGGGTATCTTAGAGCCGAGGAAACTTATTTTTGACTTTGAAGCATCAATTAGGGTATACATATAATATA